GACAGGGCTTGGATCAGCCTGGGACAGTGGAAGGTGTCCCTACCCGTGGCAGTGGGGTGGAACTGATCTTCAAGGTTCCTCCAACCCAATCCATTCTGTGGTTCCGTGATATTTTATATCCCAGCTGCATTTCCAGGGCTGGGACGTTTATTGCGTGTGTCTTCAGATGCTTGTGACAGCTGAAAATGCAATTTCAAGCTGATTTTGTCAGACTCATGAGGGTCACACTTGGTTTGAGCTGTGAGCTTTGCACCTGCCCAGGTGTGCCAGGGTTTGTGGGGAGCAATCCCGAGGGATTGCTCTGCTGCAGATGCACAAAGAGCTGCAGCTTTTTTGTGATGGCCCCAGCAGCTGCAGATTCTCCTCTTGTTTCCCCAGAATGCCACTTGTGTGACCCGAGTCACAGTCACCAGCGCGTCCTGGGAAGCTGGAGCCAGCGAGGGGGATTGGGGCAGGGCAGGTGGTGGCAGGGCCCGGGGGTGCCCGGCCGTGTCCCTGCTGTGACCCTGGGATCAGGGAGCCCCTGCCACGAAAGGAGCACCAGGAGCGACTCCAAGGGGCTGCTGTGACCCAGGGCAGGATCTGGGGCTCCCCTCACCCCAACAGACACTTCCTTCTGGGATGTGCAGCGTTCCCAGGGAGCTGCTGTGTCTCTGCACTGCTGCTGTCCGAGGGAAAGGCCATTCCTGCACATGGGATGGAGCAGTCTCCATGTTTTGTGGTGTTGCTGTAATTTCTGCCTCTCTCCAGGACAGAATTTCAGCCCTTTCTTCTGAAAATGAAACCCTTGGGAGGGGAGGAGCTGGGAAAGCCCTTTGCCAGAGGGTCTCCCACCGCTCTGTGTTTCCAGGTGCCCCAAATCCAGCTTTGCTGTTGCCCTCCCACAGCCATGGGGCCCTGGGGAGGTGATTCCTGCCTGGCTCAGCGGCATCCCCGTCCACAGAATCACGGAATGCTTTGGGTGGGAGGAGGCCCTGAAGCCCATCTCACTGCACCCCTGCCATGGCAGCAGCACCAGCTGCTCCAGGCTGCTCAAAGCCTCATCCAGCCTGGCCTTGGGCACTTCCAGGGATCCTGGAGCAGCCACAGCTGCTCTGGGAACCTCTGCCAGGGCCTGCCCACCACGGCAGAGGTTGGCACTGGGTGGTGTTTGAGGTCACGTCCAACCCAAACCGTTCCATGATTGCTGCTCTCAGCCCCGAGCCGGGCTGATCCCTGCTCACACAGGGCAGCTCCTGGGCTCTGGAGCTTGTGGGGAGCTCTGCCCCCAGCCAGGGAGGAGCAGGGACCAGCTCCTGTCCATTACTGATCCACTCAGAGGTTTCAAAGCTCCCCCAATGTCCCTGGTCTGTCTGCAGGAGTTTGGGCACAGGAGCAGCACTGAGCCCTTGGGACCAGGATAACCTGGGGATTCCTAGGGAGAGGTGTTAAAACAGCATGGAATAAAGCAGGAGAAGCTGGTGGGGGCAGAGGAGGTTGGAGAGTTGGTCGTTATGGTCCTTTTAATTGGTTTGTTTGCTTTGGGTTTTTCTAAGTTGCATTTTTTTAAAGCATTTGCAGAAAAAAACATTTATTCCAGGGACTTGACCCTGATAGGTGTGGGGTGAGTGGATGAGGGCAAAACCTGACTGAGAATATCGAGTTTTTCCCATGAAGCAGGTGGCAGGAGCTGCACTTCACAGAGGCCGTGAGGGACCCCCGTCGGTGCCACCGGGAGAAAACAGAGAGGGAATCGCTCAGCGGGGAAACAAACGGTGGGGAAGCACTGTCCCTGGTCGGCCGGAGGAGCACGGGGCTCGGCCCATCCCGCCCGCAGGATCCCGCAGGATCCCGGCCCCGGTGGTGTCAGGGCCCAGCGCGGGAGCCGCGGGCTCCCGGGCTCTTGAGCAAGTGGCCCTGGCTCGTTTCCTTCCCCCGCCGGTGCCCCAGAGCTGGATGGGGGCGGGGGGGAAGATGAAATCGCGGTGATCCCCCCTCCAGCGGCTCCCCCGGCCGCTTTAACCCCCATTTCCCACCTGCGCTGGGCCGTCCCCGTGCTGTGCCCCGCTCCCCGGAGCCCCCTGTCCCCCGGTAAAGGCCGGCTCGGCGGGGTCTGGCCAGGCTGGGGTAAAGCTGCCGGGACCCTTCCAGCCCCGGCCCCCTCCCCTCGCCTTCCCTCGGGCTCTGTGTAAAAACAAACCCAATTCCCCCATTGCTGCCCCGCCAGGCACAGCTTCCATCACCTCCCCCCCGACCCCGCTCCTCCGCACCCAGAGCAGCCTCGGCCCCTCGGGACCTGCTCCCCCAAAGAGCCGCAGCGCTCGGAGCTCTCCCTCCTCCCCGCTCAGGTGCAGCAGGGAGGTTGAGCCATCGCCTTTCCCTGCTCCCTCGTCAGCCATTTCAGAGGCCAAGTGCTGACTACCAAAACTTTTCCTCGGGCTGCTCCAGAACTTTAAGGTTTTTCTTCTCACTTGTAGCTTGAAGTAGATTTTTTTGGGGGGGCAGTTTTTGCCCAGATTTCGGTTAATGACCTGGATTCCTGCAGAGCTGCGAGGAAACAGAGTCAAGTTGAAGTGAGCCTTAGGCAAACAGACACACTTGAGGCTACTCCTTCCTCTTGAGGTGCCCTCTGTGTCCATCACACACCATCTAACCCCCCTTCCAAGCACTTTTAACTATTTCAGCTCATTAAGCAGAATTAAAATTGAAAACAAATGGGGGAAAATAATAACAAAAATGGTTAAGTGGGGAATTACAACTAAGTTTAATCAATCAACAGTTATAACACGATGAAAATAATCCAGGATGTATTCCCTGGTGGAATGCCATTCTGATTATTTTCGAGAAATCACACCAAAACTATTACAGTTACAAGTAATTAAATTTATTAGACCTCTGTATTTTTTATAGTCAGTTTTGGCCAATTTACAGCTTTCCTGGGGATTTTTTGTTTGTTTTTGGTTTAGACACAAAAAAAATAAAACCATAAACCAGATATCACCAATACATCAACCCCCCCCTCGCCCCGTCACAGCCACCTAAAAAAGGGGGAGCCCTCGGCCCACCCAGCTGCAGTTTAACCCATAAAAAGGGTCCGCGGCGACTCTGTACAAGGACCGAACGTTCCGCCCAGCACTGTAAAAACCCCCCCGCGCCCCCTGCCCAGTGTCACTCCCCCGGCTTGCAGGGGCCCTTTTCCTGCCGGGGCAGCTCCTGCTCCCGCAGCAGCCGCAGGTTCTCGGCTCGCAGCCTGTCCACCTCCCGCTCCAGCGCCTGCACCCGCGCCGGGTCCGCCGCCTCCCCGCCGGCTTTTTTGCTCTCCATCCTCAGCCGGTTGTTCTCCTCCTCCATGCGCGACAGGCACTTCTCCAGCTCCAGGTACTCCTTCACCAGCTCCTGCTTGCTCATGTTCTGCAGGCTCTCCACATGGTACCGCTCGTAGGTCTCCGAGAAGTCCCTCTGCAGAAACTCGCTGCCGTCCCCCCCCATCCCGTCGCTGCCCCCGTCCTCGTCCGCCGCGTCGTCCAGGAAATCCTCCTCGCTCGTGTCGTCCGACTTGGCGGCCGCCCGCCGCGGGTACAGCCCGGTTTTCAGGTCGGGCTCCTCCTGGTCATGGTCCTCCATGAGGAACTGCGTGGTGTTGTAGGGAGCCACCGGCTGCCCCTTGGCGAACATCTCCGCTCGCAGCCGGGAGGCGCGGAGGCTCTGCCGCTCGTCGAACTGCTGCTTCTCCTCCCAGCTCAGCTTCGAGTACGGCTTCCAGCGCCGCTTCTTCTTCGACGGCCTCCGACGGTGCTTCTTCTTCACCGGCCACTCCTCGGTGCGTCCCACGGCCCGGTACCGCGGGCCCAGGCCGGGACGCCCCGCTCCCCCCGCCGGCGGCCGCCCCTCGGCGCCGC